CTTTCCCCCTTTCCTGTGTGCAGCTGTTTATGACCGTGTTAGCACAACTAGGTTCTTTTTCTTGTGATGCAATCTCTCGAGTGATGATTACTTGGTTCTAAAAATGTTTTCAGTTTGCTGTTGTTGTATGTCAGGTATGCATTCGGCAATGTTGTTTTCAGACGTTTGTGTTAATTTGCCTATGGTGGTAACATCCTTTAGTTAATATAATCATAGTGCACTTACAGTGATAGATGAGATTTGACTATCTCCTGTTGTTTTTTTGTTCTTATTTATATATATATATACTGTACATAGGATCTTAAAGATCATGCAGAATTATGGATGATAAATATATATTAATATGTATATATATATATATATAAACATATATATATATATTTATCACATATATATATATGTGTGTGTATATATATATATATATACATATTATATACACATATAAATATAATACCTCGGTACATGTTTGTATATATTTGGATGTGATTGTGAACCCAGATTTATAAAGTGTTTGATGTATCTTGCTGCATGTCCCAGTGAGAAGTTTCCTGGCACTTTACCCCCACGGTGTGCCCAGTGTGAGTGCTATCTGTGGTGCAAGCGTGTCCACTGTCAAGATTATTTTTAAAACTACATTGGCCAGGCTACTAGCCCACGGGGAGTCTTGTGTTGTGTAATCTCTGTGTCTGTATTGTATGGCATGTTCACTCTCTGTGTCTGTATTGTGTGCTGTGTACTCTCTCTGTGTCTGTATTGTGTGCTGTGTACTCTCTCTGTGTCTGTATTGTGTGCTGTGTACTCTCTCTGTGTCTGTATTGTGTGCTGTGTCGGTGAGTGGGAACTGTGTCTTGCTGGGAATGATTAGTGTTGTTTTTAAGATTGTTTTGTTGTTTTTGTTTTGTTTTGGGTTTTCTTCTTCTGCTATATCAAGTCAAGTTTGAATAATTTTGTGTTTTTGCGTGAGGGGAACTTATGCATGCGCTGCCATCATATTATTGTTTGGTCTTTATAGGGTTGATTTTTAATTATTTCTTTTTTCATTTAACTCTTTGCATCCTCTGCCACTTTGTTGTGATCCCTTCCTGTGTAAGTGTATTATGTGGTTGATAGAATTTGGCCCTTTTGCAGTATGTGCATCTGTGCTGTGTGTGTGTTTATGTGTGTGTGCTATGAGCATCTGCTGTTGCGTGTGTGCGTATGTGACTGCTAGATGCCTCCTGGGGAGAGTGCTCATGCAGCTCTGAGCCTGGTGCTCTGAGGTTTGTGTGTTTGGAGGGGATGAGCATGTGTAGAAGGGGTGACTGGCAGCCCCTATAGTTGTCCCCAGTGCTCATGAGATCAGGGAAAAGCCTATGTCTTCATTCTTTGTATTTGGCAATTGATGTGTTTATTAGCTCGTGTTGGCAAGTAATTCACTAAATTTGTTCTTTTTTTTTGGAGGGGGGAGGGGGCATTTTAATTAAAATTAACTGATCATGAGGGCAAAACAATAAGGGCTATTTTCTAGTGTGTGTTTTTGGGGTGCACCTATGAATTTGAACTGTTCAAAGAAAGAACCTTTCATGAGAGACAGAAGTGAGCAAGAAGATACCAAAAAAAATCTGCATGTTTTATGTTGTGACTTAAAATTCTATGCCTGTTACTAAGGGCACAGATTATGAGACATTCTGTTGTTAGGATGTGCACGAACAGGGCCAGGGAACTGAGCTGTCTGTACCTGTGACTGCCGTGATGCAGCTGTGCTTGTTGGTTACAGCATTATGTTTTTTTGTCATGTTTAATTTATCAGTAATTTATGAGCAGGATGTCCCTGATTCTTGACCAAAGAAGAAGAAGAAGAAAAAAAAGCAGTGCTCACAATGCGGTGTCAATCACTGTGTGGTCTTGTGTCCTCAGGCACAGCGTGATGTCAGTTGTAGAATGTCTCTCTCCCGCACAGACCTCTTTCAATCTTCTTTCTCAAATAGTTTCATGATGGCTTTTGGTCATGTTGCTTTTTCTTATGGGGGAGATCAGTTTTGATATGTGTGTAAATAGTACTGGGGGGGCATTATATTGTTGTATTATGGTTTGTGATCATCTTTTGGTCTAAATAACTGTTGAGGGAAGTGGCCATAAAGGAAGTGTATAGTTTCTTGTGAGTGCATGAAGTTCTGTATAGTTATTGAAGTCTGTCTGTGGCAGTCTGGTCATTGGCCAGCAAATGTCAAGGTCACTTTTTTCGCACCTATCCCCAATATGGCTCATTAGTCTTTACAGTACTCACAGTCACAGTTATGACAGGACAAAGAATTTCCTTCAGGCAGAGTGAACAAAGACAACCAGTCCATTACACTCAGTCATGAGCACACACACACACACACACACACACACACACACACACACACACACAGGGATAAATCAACATAGATTTTTGTATAACCTTGCCAGTCCTTCAAGTTAGTAGTTCTCCCCGCAGTGTAGTTAGTGACCATGTCTTTTTTACTACTTACTACTGTTTTTCCCCTGTCCTCTTGAAGAGCACCATATCCAAAATGAAGCTTTCTTATTGTTCATGATAAAAATCTGTACAGTTGACTCTACAACTTTT